CCCTGCCGTGCGCCCCGGGCATCCTCAGCCTCTGGTGAGGCCCTCGCCGCTGGGGCGGGGCAGAGACAGAAGCGGGACCGAGAGAGAAAGATGCCCATGCACAGAGGGAAGGTGGCACGATTTGCTGAGACTCGAGGGTGGAGGCAGAGGCAGAAGCAGAGAGCAATGGGGGTTGGAGGGAACACAGACGCAGGATGGAGACAGATGGAGAGCCCGCGGCTTCGCCTGCAGGGAGAGGGGGAGTGGCAGACACGGGGTCAGGCCTGGGGTGGGTGACCAGGGAGGATGAGCCGTGCAGCTCTTTGGCTCCTGACACGACCGCTGTGCATCTATCTGCACGTGTTTGTGTGTCCCCCGCTCCTTCCCCGTGTGCCTTCCTGCAGTCTGGGGACATCTGGGACTCTGGGGCCAGGGTGAGGTTCTGAGATCAATTCCGTGTGGCAGAGAAGGGACTCCCATTTGTGAGGGATCCAGGCTGGAGCGAGGCTGAGTGGGGCCGTGAGGGGGATGGAGAGGCGCTTGGGCCCGGGACGATGATGTTTCCGGCTGAGGGGCCGCACGAGCGAGAGCCCGTGGTGACTCAGGGTGCTGCCTCCACCCCCCCCCCCCCCAGGTGGGTGCCTGAGTCTGCACGCTGGCTTCTGACCCAGGGCCGGGTGGAGGAGGCCCACAGGTACCTGCTTCGATGTGCCAGACTCAATGGGCGGCACGTGGGTGAGGACGGCCTCAGCCGGGAGGTGAGGGTGACAGCGTGTGTGTGTGTGTGTGTGTGTGTGTGTGTGTGTGTGTGTGTGTGTGACTTGTATGTAGTGTCCCCTTCCTGTAGCCTGCTGTGCATTCAGGAAAACCTCCCTGGCCCCCATGGAGTCTCGGTCTCTTCAGCTCAGCTCCACGAGCACTGCCACCCCTGCAAGCGCAGGAGGCAGGAACAGACCCCCAAAGACATTGCTGTGCCTGGCTGAACCCCCTTGGCTGGCTCTGACATCACAAGTGCCCTCCCCTCCTACTGCCGCCCCTCCCCCCCAGGCTCTGAGCAAAGTCGCCGCAGGGGAGCGGGTAGTTCAAAGACCCTCATACCTCGACCTGTTCCGGACACCACGGCTCCGACACATCTCTCTGTGCTGCATGGTGGTGTGGTGAGGAGGGGGTCGGGCGGGGCGGAGGGGGGCAAGGGGCCACTCCAGGCCTGGCGCCTGGGGAGGGCTGGGGAAAGTACAAGTGCGGAGGCAGAAGGAGCTGGCCTTCCCTCCGGAGGCCAGCCGGAGGCGCATTGCCCCTTGGAGAAAGGCAGCTCTGGCCCCCTTCCCGCCTCACACGGGCTCTGTGAAAGGCACGGGGCCCACTGGCGGCAAGGACCACTGGGTGGGGGAAGGCGCACTGTAAGAGCAGAAAGGCTGGTGGCTCTGCAGGCGGGGAAGGTAGCCCCTCCAAAAGTCCAAAGCTCCTGGAGAAGACAGACGAGAGGGAAGGGAAGGAAGGCCCCTGAGTGACCAGGCGATCTCCCTCAGGTTTGGGGTGAATTTCTCCTACTACGGCCTGAGCCTGGACGTGTCCGGGCTGGGGCTGAACCTGTACCAGACGCAGCTGCTGTTCGGGGCCGTGGAACTACCTTCCAAGCTGCTGGTCTACCTGGCGGTGCGCCACGCGGGACGCCGCCTCACGCAGGCGGGGACACTGCTAGGCACTGCCCTGGCCTTGGGGATCAGACTCCTGCTGTCCGCGGGTGAGCCCCGGATCTCTGAGCCTGCACCGGAGACCCCGCCCACCCTCGAATCCCCGCCCACTTCCGCCCCGCCCACAGACGGAGGCCCCGCCCACCCCATACAGATCCCGTCCACAGCCTGGTCCAGTTCGGGCCCCGCCCACCACCGGCTCCAGCCTGGTCCCTTCCACAAGAGGCCACGCCCATGGTCCCGCCCCATACAGCCCCGCCCATAGCCTGCTCCAGTTAGGCCCCCCCCCAGCACCGGTTCCAGCCCGGCCCCGCCCACGCCCCATTAAAGCCCCGCCCGCAGCCTGCTCCAGCCCGGCCCCGCCCACAAAGCCCCGCCTACCGCCTGCTCCGCCCGGCCCCGCCCATAGCCTGCTCCAGCTCGGGCCTCGCCCAGCACCGGCTCCAGCCTGGTCCCTTCCACAAGAGGAGGCCACGCCCATGGTCCCGCCCCATACAGCCCCGCCCATAGCCTGCTCCAGTTAGGCCCCCCCCAGCACCGGTTCCAGCCCGGCCCCGCCCACGCCCCGTTAAAGCCCCGCCCGCAGCCTGCTCCAGCCCGGGCCCCGCCCAGCACCGGCTCCGCCCATAAAGCCCTGCCCGCAGCCTGCTCCGGTCCCGCCCACAAAGCCCCGCCTACCGCCTGCTCCGCCCGGCCCCGCCCATAGCCTGCTCCAGCTCGGGCCTCGCCCAGCACCGGCTCCAGCCCCGCCCACAAAGCCCCGCCTACCGCCTGCTCCACCTCGGGCCCCGCCCGGCCCCGCCCATAACCTGCTCCGGTCCCGCCCATAAAGTCCCGCCCACCAGCTCGGGCCCCGCCCAGCACCGGCTTCAGCCCGGCCCCGCCCATAAAGCCCCCGAGTCCACTTACGCGCGGCGCCCGCGGTCCCGCCCGCACCCGACTCCCCGACCAGAGCCCACCGCCCTACCTGCACTCCATTCCCCGAACCGCCCCACTCCAAGGCAGTTGTTTCCTGCCCACTCCGGGGGCTCCGCCTCCCAGCCCACCCCGCCATCCGTCGCTGCCCAAGGTCCGCTGCTCACAGCCTGACGTCCGTCTCCTCCAGAGATGGGACCCTGGAGCACCGCCCTGGCGGTGATGGGGAAAGGCTTTTCTGAAGCTGCCTTCACCACCGCCTACCTGTTCACGTCGGAGCTGTACCCCACTGTGCTCAGGTGAGGGGAGTCGGGGTCCCCGGTCACCTCGCTCACCTCCGCCTGCGTCCGCTGCGCCCAGCCCTCCTCACCCGCCCTCTGCACCGCAGCGGAGCACACCGTGTCTGTTAAGGTGGGAGAATGGGGGCACCCTGGGAGGGGTCCGGCATCCTCGGTGGGCTTCCTTTAGAAGCGAACTGGGGGATCGGATTCTCTGGCCAACCGGCCTCCCCTCCCCCGGCCTCGGGAGATTTCTCCAGCCCAACGTGTGCAGATGCAGTCAGATTAGGAAGCCTCGGGTCCTGGATCTGGACCGCCCCGTTGACCCTCTTCCTTCCACACTACCTTTCCCCAGCGCCTTCTCTGATGCCTGTGCTGTATCTGTGTGTTGTGTCTGAACCTAGGGCCTCACATTTGCACATTTGCACCTCCTTGGCACTCTGCCAGAATGAGGGCTCCATCCTCTGCTGGGTGCTGGCTTGGGCTCCTGGTCCTGGGAGTGGGAAGAGCACTGATACGCTGATAGAAACCTCTGCCTTCTAAGCCAGTTGCGGGAAAAGGGGTGTGGGGGTGTGCTCAGGAGTGACTCTGAGGACTCCTGCCAGGGTGACACCCTGCGAGACTGGAGCCCAGGAGCACCGCCTCTGCCCCCTCCTCTCTCTCCGAACAGGCAGACAGGGATGGGGCTCACTGCACTGGTGGGCCGGCTCGGGGGCTCTTTGGCCCCCCTGGCGGCCCTGCTGGATGGAGTATGGCAGTCGCTGCCCCAGCTCGCTTATGGGGGTGTCGCCCTGCTGGCCGCCTGTACCGCACTCCTGCTACCAGAGACCAGGCAGGCACAGCTGCCAGAGACCATCCAGGATGTGGAGAGGAAGAGGTGTGTGCCCGGGCTGGCGTGGGGGTCTGCGTGAGCACATTCATTCACTCGGGCATGGGGACCAGGTACAGGACACCTCAGGTAGGGTTCAGAGTTGAGTCGACGTGGACGCAAACGGGTGTGCCTGGGTGCATGACCCGGACACTTCAACTGCACGTGTAAGCGTGTCTGAGTCCATACACATGCATGTGCACACCCGAGGTTGTCTGGGAAGTTGGGGGGGGTGCGTGCTCAGGTCCACTCGTGAGAGGACATGTGGATCTGTATACCAAACAGATGTCTTCCTCCCCAGCACACCATCAACTCTGCAGGAGGAAGCTGTGCCCATGAAGCAGGTGCAGGACTGACCGGCATTGAGGCAGGCCCGTTCCACTCAGCTCTGCAGCGGGGCTGGGTGACCAGGGCGCTGGCCAGAGGTGGTGCAGCCACCAGACTCTTTGTCATGCTGCAACAGAGTGACTTCCCAGAAGGCAGGGGGAGAATCCCAGCATCTCTCCTAGCTGGGGTGATACCGTAAACAAAGGTGCCCTCTGAGCACCAGTGAGCAGCTGCAGGACGAGCTCTGGGTGGGACACGCTCTGTCCGGGCATGGGCTGTGATCTGAGCTTTGCCACCGGTTTGCTGTTTGACCTCAGGCCTGTGGCCACCCTGCAGATGGTGACTCAAGCATCAACCCAGAGGAGATGAGGTCATGCTCTAAGGAGATGCAGAATCAGACCCTGCTGCCAGAGGTGGCTTCCAGGAGGAGAGTGCATAGGGCATGCTGCCTGCTGTGGCGTTGGGGGGGCGTCCCACTGCCAGGGGCCCCACAAACACATACCTCTTTGTTCCATGCAGTGCCCTGCAGAGTAATGCACCCCCCCGCACCCCCCACCCTCCCACCCAACCCACTGGCTCGGGCTCCTGCCCAAAGGAGAACTTCCAGCAAGGGAGTTTAACCTTTTATTGGAGAGGCCAAAGAAGCTGGGAATAAACACGAGTTTTATGAGTACCTTGACACTCTAGGGTTTGTTGGGGAAAGGGAGTGGGCAAACCAGGCGGCCGGCCTTCAAAATAGTGCGGTCAGTGTCCCCAGGTAGGCCGGCAGGCAGGGAAGGGACGCGGTGTCAGAGAAGGTCCACACGGGTCTGCCATGCGCTGTGGGCCCAGGCCGCCTGAATCCCACCTTCTCTCACCCGCTCTGGACTAAAGAATCGGTAATGCCCACGTGGCCAGTGGGCACGGCGGGAGGCCTGCGTCGGGATGGTCGCTGTTCTGCTGTGAGCACCTCATTTGGATTTTATCTCCACCGGGTCATAGATGTAGCAGCCCACGTCACCAATATTCACACCTGGAGGGGAGAGCCCTGTCACCAGACACTGGGAGCTCGGGGAAGCTGGGCTGAGGGTGGGCGGGAACCAGGACGCGCCTGGGGACGCTGGAGCCCCCGAGAATCGTCCCACATCCCCCTCCGGCCGTGGACTGGCCAGCATTCAGGCTTGGTGTCTGGGGTGGGGGTGCCCACCTTTGGGCCCAAACAGGTAGCCGTAGCAGGGAATGTGGCAGTAGGGGACGCCGTCATGCTGGGCCCGGGGCAGGGAGACAGAGAAAAGGAAACCGATTCAGCTCGTTCCCTGCCAGCTCCAGCCCCTGCCTCCCCTCCCCCTCCACCCACCATCGGGGCCACTGACCTCGGCGTGTCTCCCGGCCGTCAGCGTCTTCCGGCAGCGCTGGCACCTCAGACAGGGCCGGTGCCAGTTTCTGCCCAGAGACATCACACTCTCAGCTGGCAGGGGGGCGGAGGGGGCAGAGGGCGGTTCAGGGGGTGGGCTGGCTACCGGCCTGGCACCCAGGCCCTTGTCCCCTTCCCGCACTTACCAAAATACACAGGCTCCTCACAGCTGGGGCACGGCGAGGGCTCCCCGGTGAACGTCTTTCTGTGGGGGGGGCCTTGAAGGGGGAAGAGGCGGGGACCGGCCCTCAGCAGCCCCCTCACCCCCTCGCAAGGGGCACCCCAGCGGAGCCGTGTGACCCCCCATCTTCAGGAGGGCTCCCACTCAGGGACCCACCCACCCCACGGGGTCAGCAACAGAATCGTCCGAAACCCGAGATGACCGGGCAGCGGGCAGCGGGCCGGGCAGCGGTGTCAGGTGTTGGGTAGTGCCATGTCACTGTCCAGTCCAGGGGGCCGGGGGTGGGGGGAGGCCACGGAAGGTCGGGACCCCTTACTCCTGGGCTCTCCTTTCACACCCCTGAGAGTGGGGTGGGAGCCCCAGGACCAGCCGTGTGGGCGTGAGGTGGCCTGTCCTCTCTCCGCCTGTTTTCTCATTCGCGAAATGGGGGATGATGTCACCTGCCCGCTGACCTCTTTAAGTTAGTGACCGGCACGAGGGAACATGGAAGAAGGGGCCCTGGGGCAGAGGCCACTTGGCGGAGAAGCCCGGGGTGCAGCGGGGAGCCTGGGAAGGGTGGGAGGAGGGGCCGGGTTCCACTTACTTTTCTTGGTCCGTGGGGGGCCAGTCCTGGGCCTGGGTGGGCTGAAGCTGCTAGGGCTGAGGGGAGCGCGCCGGGCCGGGGGCGGCGTCGGGGGACTGTAGAGGTGGGAACCCAGGACACTGAGGTTCACCCCTGCAGAGAAAAGAGGAGAGGAGGGGAGGGGAGGGGAGAGGAAGGGAGGGGAGGGGAGAGGAGGGGAGGGGAGGGGGAGGGGAGGAGAGGAGAGGGCTGGTCCCTCCTGCTCCAGGCCCTGGGAGGGCCCTCCCGCCCCTGCCCCTCAGTGCCTCTACTTACCCCTGGGTCCAAAGAGCGCCCCATAGCACGGCCTGTGACAGTATGGCCTTCCCTTGTGCTGGAACAGCAGAGGGAAGTTGCTTGGGGCAGGGGGCACCTGTCCTGTCCACGGCACACCTTCCTTCCCACCAAGGCTGCTGACTGGGCCTGTCTTTGGGCCTGGGGGGATGGGGTTGGGGAGGGGAGGTGGCTGGCACCCCAGCGCAGCCACTGTCCTTGGGGAGAGGGGACACTAGTAGGCCGGGGTGGTCAGTGCTGCCTGTCCCCAGCTGCCCCCAGAGAAACAAGTCAGGCCCCCCAGGTCTTAGCGGGAGCGGAGACCACCCGTGATCATGGGAATTGGGGGATGAATCGGAGGGCTGGGGTTTGGGCAGGTGGCGAGGCCTCACCTCTGCGTGCCCTCCTGGGCACAGGACGTTGTGGCAGCGCTCACATTTCAGGCAGAAAGGATGCCAGTTCTGGCCCAGGGAGCTCACCTTCTCCGCTGTGGGGGGCAGGGGCAGGGCTGCAGGGGACCGGGCCAGCCACGGGGAAGGCCCCTCCCGCCGGCCCGCGCGCGCCCTGCAGGTGATGGGGACGGTCCCCGGGGTGGTCAGCCCCCCACGCGCCAGCCCTCGCGGCCGCGGGGAGCCGGCGGCTCTCCCTGGCCCCTTCTCCAAGCCTCCGAGGCGCCGTCCTCACCGAAGAAGACCGGCTGCTGGCACCGCGGACAGGTCCAACTCATGGCTCGGCCGCCGCCGCCTGCGGCCGTCGCCGCCGCTCCCGGGCTCCCGCCCCCCTACTGGCCCCGCCCCTTCTGGCCCCGCCCCCGGCGCGGCCCGGAGCCTCATTGGGCGGCGTCCGCGGCTCCCGGGCTCCCGCCCCTCTGCTGGCCCCCGCCTCCGACGCGGCACGGAGCCTCATTGGGCGGCGTCCGCGGCTCCCGGGCTGCCATTGGCCGCTCCGCTCCCAGGCAGGACCCGGTACCCGCGAAGCCGCTAGAAGGGTCCGAGGGTGCCCGCACGCGTCTTTGCTTGCGGAGCGGAACCGTCCAGAGCGCAAAGGCCGGAGGAAGGAAGCGTTTCCCCAAAGCTGGGGGGTTAGACATTCTGAAAATGGCTTGACTCTGGGGCATGAAGTACAATTCCGGAGGTCTAGTACAGCGCGGGGCGCGTTTTCCTTGAACCGCCAGGAATGAACCCCGAGTAAATCCTGAGCACGGCTGCGGAAGGGGGCAAAAATCGGCCTTGGGCGGTTGAGAACTCACTTTAGTTACTTCTTAGTCGAGTAAATTAACCTTCCTCTGCCTCCCCTTTCTTACTGGGTGGGAGGCGCGACCGTGGTTCTGGATTCTAAGGGAATCAAGCGGTGCATCAGACATGTAAACCACGCATTCCATCCCCTGCCTTGGAGAGAGTTCCCTGTCTCTGCTTTCCCCTCCCTTCCTCCCTCCCTCCCTCCTTTCTTTCCTTCCTTCCTTCCTTCCTTCCTTCCTTCCTTCCTTCCTCCCTTCCTCCCTCCCTCCCCTCCTTCCTTCCTTCCTTCCTTCCTTCCCTCTCTCCCTCCTTCCTCCCTCCCTCCCCTCCCCTCCCCTCCCCTCCCCTCCTTCCTTCCTTCCTTCCTTCCTTCCTTCCTTCCTTCCTTCCTCCCTCCCTCCCCTCCCCCTCCCCTCCCCTCCCCTCCCCTCCCCTCCCCTTCCTTCCTTCCTTCCTTCCTTCCTTCCTTCCTTCCTCCCTTCCTCCCTCCCTCCCCTCCTTCCTTCCTTCCTTCCTTCCTTCCTTCCCTCTCTCCCTCCTTCCTCCCTCCCTCCCCTCCCCTCCCCTCCCCTCCCCTCCCCTCCTTCCTTCCTTCCTTCCTTCCTTCCTTCCTCCCTCCCTCCCCTCCCCTCCCCTCCCCTCCCCTCCCCTCCCCTCCCCTTCCTTCCTTCCTTCCTTCCTTCCTTCCTTCCTTCCTTCCTTCCTTCCTTCCTCCCTTCCTCCCTCCCTTCCCTCCCTCCCTCCCTCCCTCCCTCCCATCCCCCTGCCTTTGAGCTAATTCCTTGCCTCTAAGTCTTCCTGCCTCCTGGCCTCCCAGCCTTGCCTTTCTTCCCTTCATTCCTTGCTTTTGCAGGGGTTGGGTTTGGGGGTTTGAGCCACATCCAGAAGTGCTCAGGGGCTATTTCTGACTTGGTGTCAGGGTGACCATTTCAGGGGCCAGGATGGAACCAGGATCACAGCAGAAGCAGCTGCATGCAAGGTAAGTACCTTACCTGGATATTTGTTGAATATCCAGCCCCTGACTCAGTTTTCTTTTCTTTTCTTTTCTTTCTTTCAGTTTGGGCCACATTCAGCAGAGATTCATTCCCATGGAATGGAAGAAAATGGTCCTGAAACAAAACCAGAAAAATAGTAGTTCTAGTCTCCACTCCAATAATAAAGGCATTATTCATTTCTGCCTTTGTGAGCACACACCCATGGTGTGTGTGTGTGTGTGTGTGTGTGTGTGTGTGTGTGTGCGCGTGCGCATGCACTGTACGTGCCTGCGCATACCAGCCACACCTGGCAGTGTCCAAGGTGTATTCCTGACTCTCTACTCAAAAGTGATCCCAGATGGTGGCTGGGGTCCATATGCTTTGCCAAGGATTGAACTGGGCTGCAAAACAAGCGCCTTCTCCCCTGCCTTGCATTCTCACTCGGGTCCAGCCTTTCCCTTTATGTGGCTCTCACGGCAAAGGTGTTCCTCCTGAGGATGAGAGAACTTCACTGGTGTATGTTCTTACACATAAGGTCTATTATTGAGCTACGTATGCTTTGCATATGTTAAGTTCTTGATTCGACTTCTGGCATTGCTCTCCCTCTCCTGATAAAACATTGCATCAGGGGCTGGAGTGATAGCACAGCAGGTAGGGCGTGCGCTTGCCTTGCACATGGCCGACCCAGATTCAGTCCCTGGGTGACTTGGCCCCCCCAAGTTCTCCTGAGCACTATCAGGAGTGATTCCTTAGTGCAGAGCCAGGAGTTACCCCTGAGAATCGCTGGGTGTGGCCCCCAAACAAACAAAAATAAGTAATAAAAAACAAAACCACATCAAATCCGAGAGGGGTGGAGGAATCGAACTCGGGTCGGCCATGTTGGCTGCGTGCAAGGCAGACGCCCTACCCGCTGTGCTATCGCTCCAGCCCGGCAAGCTACTGAGAGTATTCGATATGCCAGACACAGTAACAACAAAGTCTCCAATGGAGACGTTACTGGGCCCGCTTGAGCAAATCGATGATCAACGGGAGGGCCCTTACTTACTTACTTACATCAAATCATCCTTTTCCAGGGACCAGCGCATAACAACTTGCCTTGCCCTCTGTCTGGCATCTGGTCAGGTCTCCCAGGGAAAACCAGCAGCTGACAGCTTGGATGAGTCAGTGAAGCAAGTGCTTCACTGCTCCCCTTCTTCTGGACCCTCCTGTTTGATGTGACCATAACAGAGTTTGCCTCACCTCCACTTCAGGGCTCGGGAAAGGTTAGCTGAGTTTTTCTCTTTCAGGTACTGTACCACCCCTTTGCAGATGGAGCAAATCACAGGACTCCACTCTTCTTCACCTGGTTTCCATTGTTCTTACTCTAGAAGATGATTTATGAAGAATGCTCATTTTATTTCACTTTATTTTTAAATATTTTTGGAGGGATGTCTCCTAAGCATTGCCTGGCAGTGATAAGAGATCTTCAGGGCCATGCCTGGTGGTATTCAGACAACCATGTGGTTCCAGGGATCAAACTTGGGGTTAGTGTATTGTATGCAAAGCATGGCCTTAATCCTTGTACTATTTTTTCCTGGCCCTTAGAGCTATTCCTACCCCATCCTCACCACCACTTTATTTAAACAACTATCACAATCACGATCATCAGGTTGTTCGTCGATTGCCTCAAGCAGGCACCAGTAATGTCTCCTTCCTAGCCCTGAGATTTTAAAAGAGCCATATTCAATGCTCTTTTAGGGCTAGGAGAATGAGACCCATCATTGTTACTGGTATTTGGCATATTGAGTACGACACGAGAAGTTTGCCAGACTCTGCTGTGTGGGCAGGATATTTTCGGTAGCCTGCCAGGTTCTCCAAAGTAAAAATGAGATAGTAAGATGCTTCCGGGAGCTGGGTTTTATAGTCTCTGGGTCTTGGCTATTGATGGGACCACCTGGCGCCGGTGGCAGCTGGTGGGTGTAACGCCTACCTACTGGAAGATGGGGGATCTGGGTGGAGAAGGCCCAGTCCTGATCCGAGCAAGCTTGAAAATCTCAGCCCCTGGGACCCCCATGCCTGAGTTCCTCTGCCGGTTCCTTCATGCATGAGGCTTGTCCGGACGTGTGGAGAGTGGTCTCAGCATGGCTGTGGCTGGTTCTGGAGGTCTTCAGCTGCTGGGGCTCTGCTCAGGGCGGGGAGGGAAACTCAACCCGCCACCACCCTTCAAGGGGCCCTGGTGAGGACAGCCAGGCGTGGGGGCAGGAGACTCTACTTAAACAACGTGGTTTACAAACTTGTTCATGATGATTTGTTCCAGAAATTCAATATTCCAACCCCAACCTCACCACCACCACTGTCATCTTCCCTCCACTACTGTCTCCATTTTCCCAGCCACTCCTCAAGCGTACCCCCATAGCAGACTAACAATTTATTTTAGTTAATTTTATTTTATAATTTATTATATACCAATAAATGGCTAATGGGATGATAAAAATATTTCCATACAAGAAAAATTGTGAAAATTGTTAATATCTCACCATGGGGGACGTTAAGTTTTGGGTTATTTCTTTTTTTTTTTTGCTTTTTGGGTCACACCCGGCAATGCTCAGGGGTTACTCCTGGCTCATGCACTCAGGAATTGCTCCTGGCGGTGCTTGGGGCACCACATGGGATGCTGGGAATTGAACCTGTGTTGGCCATGTTGGCTGTGTGCAAGGCAACGCCCAACCTGCTGTGCTATTGCTCTAGCCCCGGGGGGTGTTAAGTTCTTGTCTGAGGGTTTACTAAGCTGCTGTTGTAAGTTAAGCCTTTTGTGTTAACGTTTTTGTTAACTGAGATTGTTTGGTTTCTGTGTTACATCCCATCCAATCTGGTATGCTACTACTGGGATGTCAGTGTTGTAGTTTGAGGGTGTCTTATAGCCACACATGTGGCCTTAAAAGCTATTTTAAATATGTTGTGTAAGGCCTCTGAAATGTCATTTGGGGCTGGGAAGAAAAATCAAGGTGCTGGGGGGGTATGCTGTCATGCAAGAGCTTCGATTTATTTCTGAGCACGACATGGTTTCCCAGGCACTGTGATAATGGTCCCTAGTGTCCTGCTGGGTGAGACTTCCAATCCAAAATAAAATTATTTCTAATGGTGGGTCTGGTGTCAAAATATTGAGTGTGATCAAAGTAGTCACTGTCACTGACATTGTCCTCCCGTTGTTCATCGATTTGCTGGAGCGGGCCCAGTAAGGTCTCCATTTTGAGACTTGTTGTTACTGTGTTTGGCATATTGAGTATGTCACGGGTAGCTTGCCAGGCTTTGCCGTGCAAGTGAGATACTCTTAGTAGCTTGCCGGGCTCTCTGAGAGGGGCAGAGGAATTAAACCTGGCTCGTCTGGGCTGGCTGCGCACCAAGGCAAACAGCCCTAGAGAGAGAGTAATGTGGAAATCATCTGCCCCACAGGTAGGGGGACGGTGGGGGATGGGGGCATACTGGGGTTTTTGGTGGTGGAGAATGGGCACTGGTGAAGGTACGGGTGTTTCATTGTATGATCGAGACTTAAACCCGAAAGCTTTGTAACTGCTCTCACGGT